TGTTGTTGTTGTTGTTATTATTTTTGTATGTTTTGTAAAGCATGTCGTAATGAAAGAATGATACTAGTTTAACCTCATTTCGTGGTGATGTAGAAAATTTATTGTTGCATAAAATTAATTGTATTAAATTAACATTGTAAATTGTGTTGTAGAAATGAAATATTTACTTCCTTAAAGGAAATCAGTTGTTTCCTATTTGTTTGGTTTACTTGCATATCTATTATCATTGAAGAAATCTGCTCTATTTAATTTGTAGAAAATTTAATTGATTTATTCCTTTTTCATCTTTTGTTGTGATTAATAATTAAGCTTACTTTTGATAATTGAGATGATGAAAGTTGAAAAACTTAATTTTTGTACTTATTAAGTAAATTGATTATTTTTTTTTGTAATAAATATGAGTAAAATTTTAAAATTTATAGAAAAAAAAACTTCTAAAGCTGAAATAATTTTTTTTACTAAAATTTGAAAAAAACAAATTTTTAAGAAATGAAAAATTATCAACTTATTTTATTTACAAGCAACAAATATCAATTATAAAAATGATGTACAGTTAAATTAATAAATTTAAATGAAATTTCATTCCTTAATCGATCAAAGAACGTATGATTATTTTTTTTTATTAAATTATTGTTGGTTTTGGTTTGGTTTCAATTTCATTCATTTATTTTGTAATTTTTCATTTCTTAAATGTATTCCCATGGTTACGCATGTTAAACACCTCGAGTTTATTAGCAGACGTTTCGAATGAGGCGATTCTAATCTGGCCATGACGAGCCAGACTAATTATTATAACTGAAGATTTCAAATTACGCTACACAATGATGACCAAATTGTGCTTTACTCCATGATATCACTTATTCATATAATACGCAACGTTTTACGACTATTTCAACGATTTTCATAATATTATTCAATTATATTTAGATTTTATGCAATGAATACGAAAAATTTATATAACAACAAATTTCAATGTTTTCAAATAAAAAATTGGAAAATTTTAAACATGAAAAGCTAATTATTTTATTAATTAAATTTGTATTTCATTTTAAGTTAAATTTCTTAAAAATTATAGTCGTAAAACGAATTTCTTGACTATTATTTTTGGGACAAAATTTCCGATTACTTTCTTGAATTTTTTCATATTTTTTAGAAAATCCAATAAATTATTTATACTTTTTTTTCAATATTGATATATTTTCCTAAATACGAAAAAAGTTATGTAACAAAATGATACAAAAGTTGTAAATTTTTTGAAATAATTGTAAATTGGACGTACCGTACGTCGAAATGTATCTAACATCTACTTCAATTTGTCATTATATATTAATGATTCATAAATAATTAGTATTAATATTTACATTTGAAAAATTAAATTTGTTCATAAAATTTTGATTTCTTGTATATAATTTTTTTTATTTTTTTTTTAAATATGTATATAATTTTTTTTATTTTTTTTTTAAATATGAGTTCATACATTGAAAATGGTATGCGTAAGGAGAATTCGTCCCTAGTTATTAGGAAGCATTGATACGTGAAGAGGCCGCAAATTATTACCTTTACATTATTCTGTACAGTTACGTCTATTTTTTTTTCCTTCTATGCTTCAAATCGTTCCTCCTTGGTTTACTTCTTCTTCCATCCACACATAAATCGGTTTTAAGTATTACTTAACAGCGCAATTGATTGATTTTACGGTTTGAACTAATCAAAATTTCTTGGGAAAACAGTTGTTCTCGTCGTTTGTGGCTTTAAAAATAAATGAGTTTCATTGGTCAGAATCAAATTGATTAATTTTGATTTCAATCACAATTGAAGAAAAAATAATTGAGTAAAAGTTTCAATAGGTTTTAGTAATAGGTGCATTTGTTATACTTGTCAAGTTACTTGTCATGTTACAAGTTTTGTTGATTACAGTAATTTCGTATTTTTTTAGATAATAAAGGAAAATTGTTTAGTTACTTGTAACAATATATACATAAAGCTTACAGACTAGTCAATAAGCAATACTTGACAAGTAACTTGTAATAATACAAATTTTGTTGGAAACAGTAATTATTCAATTTTCTTAGATAATTAACGATATTTGATAAGTTACTTATACAAAAACATACTTAGAGCTTACAGTCTAGTCAATAAGCAATACTTGTCAAGTAACTTGTACTAACACAAATTTTGTTGGTTAAAGTAATTATTCAATTTTCGTAGATAAATAGGGACATTTGATAAGTTATTTATATAAATACATATTTAAAGCTTACAGTCGAGTCAATAAGCAATACTTGCCAAGTAACTTGTACTAATACAAATTTTGTTACTGTGACCAAGTAATTATGCATTTGTTTCTATAATAAACGATACTTTATAAGTTACTTGTAGTAATCAATGAGTAACTACTCAAATATCTTAGACACTTGTCAAGTAACTTAATATAAAACACATTTTTATTGTCAAAGTGGTTTTGTGAAACAACATTTCTTACACAATATACATTTGTCATGTACAATACACGTTACTTGTCAAGTAAATATATTAACCAAAAAACAATATTCATCTTGTTTATCTTCAATTATTATTATTATAATAATGACCATACTTGACAAATTACTTGCCAAGTACCAAGTGGAATTATCAAATTATTATTAGAAATAAAAAAAAACTATTATAAAATTAACAGTTAGAAAATGTTCCTTTCATATTTTCTATCGACCAAAAAAGTGCAAAATATTACAGTTATAATGTTTTTCATTTTGCTTGAAATCTAAAGAAAATTTGCATTATTTATATGTATATAAAAGCTGTGTCTATTAAAAAGCTATAAAACACTTATAATTAAAATACTATATAATTTGTAATTAAAAAAGAGTCATAAATCATATTTCAACCGTTGCAAATTTAGCAATGCAAATAATGGTTGCGTTTAACACATTAATTACAGTTTGTTATGGTAATCTCAACAAGACAACATAATTAAATCCATGCAATAACAACTGTTGAATCAATAGTTTCTTTTAAGAAGAAAAAACCGCTTTGAAATAATCTTGAAAAGTGAAGATTTGCAAAAAAAAAATGAAAACTTTGTAATATTAAGATCAAAATTTTCATAGAATGTTATGTAAATTTAATAGAATAATCATGAATTTTATATTTAGATTTTGTATTTTCTAAGTTACTTCATTAAGAATCTTTTGTATTATTAGAAGTACATTAATTTTTCAACAGTTATGAACAAATTGTTTGAAATATTAGAATATTTTTCTCATATTTTGAAGCATTTCATAAGTAATTAAAAAAAAGTAGGTTAATCGTTTAATATAAATAACTAAATTAACTGTAGTGAAGAAAATTTTAAAAATTAGGATATTTTTCTTGAGTTAATATGAAAATATTAGTTTGATAAAATTCAAGAAGATTTGAAAAAGTTTTGATTGAAATAAGCAAATTTTTATTGATCAGTTAGAAATACACCACTTCTTTAATTAAAATTAAGTTAAATTATGTAACATTGCTGTTAACTTCTAGTTTAATTATATAACTTCACGATAATCTTTGTTATAATTCAAGAAAAGTTAAAAAAAAACTTTGGATTGAAATTAGTCATTTTTTTATGATTAGTAAAAATACACCACTTCTTTCATTGACATTCAGTAAAAGTATGTAACATTACTGCTAACTTCTAGTTTAATTATATAAATTCAAGTTAATCTATTTAAAGCTGCTATTAATTTCTTGATTTTTTTTTGTAATCATATAACTTGAAGTTAATATAAACTATTCGACTATGTTTATGGTTATTTTACCTGAATTGGGGTTTGGTATCCTAGGTTGTGCTAAAGGTGTAACTGAGGTAGGATTCGTGTAGACCGTCCACGGTCCTCGCCAAGCTGAAGCAACTTCTGTCTTATCGCAGCACGTGCCACCAGCATCCGATTTGATCAGA